CAGTGCAAATATCAGAAAGCAATGAATGTGGCACAGAATATGTTCAGTTTTAAACTTCAAGTTCCTAAACTCCCAGAAATGAACAGGAGGTCAGTATTATATAATGGTTTAAGAACACAGGATTTGGATTCAGAATGTTTTTTTTAATTGATATGTAATTGACCTATCACATTATATTCGTTTCATGTACACAACCTAAGGTCTTGATATTTGTATATACCGCAAAGTGATCCCCAGAGTAAGTCTAGTTAACATCTGTCATCTCATAGTTACAAAAATTTTTTTCTCATTATACCTTTTAAGATACTCAGCAATGTTCAAATATATAATATTTTATTATTAACTGAGTCACGTGCTGTACATTACATCCCCAGGATGTATTTATTTTATAGCAGCAAGTTTGTGCTTTGTGACCCCCTTCATTCATTTTTGCGTACCCTACACCTCTGGCAACCACCAATCTGTTGAGCTCAGTTTTTTAATATCTATTTATTTTTTATTACACATATAAGTGGGATCATACAGTACTAGTCTTTCTCTGTCTGACTTATTTCACTTAGCACAATGCCCTCAGTATCTATCCATGTCATAAATGGCAAGTTTTTCTATTTTATGGCTGAATACTATTCCTTTGTATATATACACCATATTTTTATCATCCATCAATATACACATAGGTTTTTTTTCCATATCTTATCTGTTAAAAACCATATTTCAGTGAACATGGGCTGCATATATCTTTGCAAATTAGTCTTTTTCTTAAGATAAATAATCAGTCATGGAATTGTTGGCTCATGGGATACTTGTTTTTAATTTTTTGAGGAAACTCTGTATTATTTTCTATAATGTCTTCACTAATTTACATTCCCATCAAGGTGCGCAAGGATTCCCTTTGCTCTGCATCCTTGCCAACGTGTTATTTCAGTCTTTTTGATAACAGCTATTCTAACAGGTGTCAAGTGATATCTCATTGTGGTTTTGATTTGCATTTCCCTGATGTGCAGTGATGTTGAGCATCTTTTCATGTGTCTTTTCATCATCTGTATGTCTTCTTCAGAAGTATGTCTATTCAAATCCTCTACTTTTTAATTGGATTGTTTTTCTGTTACTGAGTTGTATGAATTATTTATATATGTTGGATATTAATTGCTTATCAGATATGTGATTTGCAAATATTTCTCTCATTTCAGAGGGTTATCTTTTAATTTTGTACATGATTTCCTTAGCTGTGCAGAAGCTTTTTAGTTTGAGGTAGTCCCACTTGGTTATTTTTGCTTTTGTTGCCTTTGCTTTTGATGTCAAATCCAAAAAATATTGCCAAGACTGTTGTCAAGATGCTTACCACATATGCTTCTTTCTGGTTTTATGGTTTCAAGTCTTAACATGCAAATCTTTAATCCATTTTGAGTTGGTTTTTGTGTATGGTTTAAGATAGTGGTCCAGTTTCATTCATTTGCATATAACTGTCCAGTGTTTCCAGCACCATTTATTGAAAATACTGCAGTATATTCTTGGCTCCTTTGTCATAAGTTAATTGACTGCGTTTATTTATTTATGCACTCTGTATTCTGTTCCATTGATCAGAGTATCTGTTTTTATGCCAATACTGTTCTGTTTTGATTAGTATAGCTTTGTCGTATACTTTAAAATCAGAGCATATAAAAAATGTCTGCAGCTTTGCTTTTCTTACAATTGCTTTGGCTACTTAAGGTCTTTTGTGATTCCATATACAAATTTTAGGAAAGTTTGTTCTATTTCTGTGAAAAAATGCCACTGGGATTTTGCTAGGGATTACAGTAAATCTGTAGATTTCTTTGGCTAGAATGAGTATTTTAATCATATTTCTTCCAATCCATGAGCACAGACTATCTTTCCATTTATTTGTGTCATCTTCAATTTCTTTCATCAGTCTCATATATTTTTAAGTCCATTTAGTCTTTCAGCCCTTGGTTAAATTTATTCCTAGGTATTTTATTGTTTTTGTTGCAATTGTAAATAGAGTTGTGTTCTTAATTTCTCTTTCTGGTAGCTTGTTTTTAGTTTATAGAAATGAAACAGATATTTGTTTATTGATATTTTACCCTGGAAGTTTTCTGAATTTGTTGCTTAATTCTAACAGTTTTTGGTCAAATTTTTAGGGTTTCCAATATATAGTGTCATGTTATCTGAAAATAGTTTTACTTCTTTCTTCCTGATCTGAATGCATTTTATATCTTTTTCTTACCTAATTATTCTAGCTAGGACTTCCAATACTATGTTGAATAAAAGTAGCAAGAGTGAGCGTTCTTTTCTTGTTCCTGATGTATTATGTTGAGGTACATTTCCTCTCTATCAACTTTGCTGAGTTTTTATCATGAATGGATGTTGAATTTTGTCATTGCTTTTTCATCTTTTGGGGTGATCATATGATTTTTATGGTTCATTTTATTACTGTGGTGAATCACATTGATTGATTTGCAGATGTTGAACCGTCTTGCATCCCTGGAATAAATCCCACTCGATTATATTGTATGATCCTTTTAATGTATTGTTGAATCTATTTTGCTGATATTTTGTTGAAGATGTTCGCATCTGTGTTTATCATATTTTTTTCCTGTGGCATCCTTTTCTGGTTTTGATATCAGCAATGCTGGTCTTATAAAATGAGTTTGTAAATGTTCCCTCTCCTTTTATTTTTTGGAAGAATTTGAGAAGAATTGGTATTAATTCTTCTTGAAATATTTGGTAGAATTCACCAGTGAAAATGTCTGGTTCTGGACATTTCTTTGCTAGAGAATTTTGATCACTGCGTCAACCTCTTCACTAGTAATTGCTCTGTTCAGATTTTCGATTCATGATTCAGTCTTGGTAGGCTGTATGTATCTAAGAATTTATCCATTTCTTCTATGTTTTCCAATTTGTTGCTTCCTAATTGTTGATAGTAGTCTCTTATGATCCTTTGTATTTATGTGGTATCAGTTAAAACAGCTCCTCTATCATTTCTGATTTTACCTGAGTCCTCTCTCTCTTCTTCTTGGTGAATCTAATTATAGGCTTACAGTTATTAGCCTATGGGACTTATAAGTCTATGGGACCTCTGACTGTAAGCCCCCAGTGGCCACCACAGCCAGCAACCTGAAGGTCTCTCCTAGGCAGCAGCTGCAAAAATTGGGGTGCCAGATAAGTGCACAGGCTCCCTTCTGCGAGACAGTGGCAAAGTAGAGCAAGGACGAGGAATAGAGCAGAGATGGTGCCTACCAGCCTTTCTTTGGGGAGTATTTCCTTAAGCCCCTAGCTGTATGTTAAATTAGATGCCTGCTTCCTCAGGCCAATGCTTTAAGATAAATAAGCCTCTTTCACAGGGAGTTTGAGTGCTTTTTAGTCACCTGCCTCTGAGCTGGGCCCTGGAGTAGGGAGGACACCCACAGTAGTCCTTTAAGAACTACTCAGTTCCTATAGCTTTGTGGGTCTCATGGACACAAGCCCCATTGGCTTCCAAAGCTAGATATTTTGGGAGCTCATCTATTAGCCACTGGTCTTAAAAGCTGCGGTGCCCAATGTGGGGTTCAACTTTTCCCTCCTCAAGGAAAAGCCAAGGGTTTCAAGTCCCTCCAGGGATGGGACTTATGGTGAGATTGTGTCTCACCACTCCCTGTGGGTTTTTTCTTATTTTCCTGATATATAGGAGCTACTTACCTAGTTTTAGTTTGTTTGTTTGTTTGAGCTCCCCCAAAGTGAATTGTTCTATGTGCAGCTATAGATTCAGTAAGTACATAGGAAGAGGTGGGTTCAGGGTCTTCCTACATCTCCATCTTAAACTAGAATTCCCAGATGGATTTTAATATGTCTTCCATCAGGAAAGTTATTAACCTCTGTGCCTCAGTTTCCTCATCTGTATATTGGGAATACAAGTACCCACCTCACAGTTGTTTGTAAACATTGAATGGGATAAAACTTACTTGGCATATGGGAAGGACTTAAAAATGACAAGCATTAGTTTGGTGATTGCAAATGCTAATAGGTGAATTAGCTGATACCTGGAGTTTACTACTTTCTGGGCTGTGGCAGAGCTGTAGCCTCAGCCCTGCCTAGATCCTTTATATTAAGCCAAGGGACCCTAAAGGGGCTCCTGCCTTCCTACCACTATATTTCCATGTTTTTAATGGTTTTGTCTTAATCACTTCTGCTTATGGTTGATTCCTTATGTGAATCTTATTAAGCTTAATGGCCTAGAGACAGCTTGTTTGGTCTGTATTTTTTATATTAACAACTAGTTTTATAAAACTAAGAAATAAATAAGAACTAAAGCAAAATATTCCTTGAGAACCTACTACCCAAAGAAGGTAAAAACTTGACGTGTGTCCCAAAATACCATTGGCCAGAAAACACTCTATTTTACCACTGTTCAGCAGAATATGCTACAGTGGTGGAAATGTTCTATAGCTGTGCTGTGCACTGTAGTGGCGACTAGACACATGGCTATTGGGCACTTGAAATGTGGTCAGAACACAAATGTGGCTGAACAACTGAATATTTAAATGTTAGTTAAATTTAAATAGCCAAGTGTGTCTAATGGCTACCATTGGACAGTTCAGGTCAAAAGGATAACAAATAGTGTTCTCGAGACTGAATGATTGATTCAGGATTCAGATGGACCGAAGTAGTTGTTTTTGTCTTTTTAAATTCAAATAAGACTTTTAAACCTAGAAAAACAAAGCCTTCTGTAACATTCTGGAATTCTCTTATGTTTCTTTCTCAATCTTCCTATAAATGCTGATTAAATTAAGGCCTATCTTATAGTTGGTGCTCAATAAATGTGGTATGTGAATTACTAACTAGTTAATTGTGCATATGGTAGAAAATGTGTACTTCTAGCCGTGTGTCTGATATAGTCATTCATGTGACTCAGCTTCTCACAATTCTCCTACTGTTGCTTTTCCTTAAGTGAGAAGGAATTATGGAAATAATAAAGCTCAAAAATGAATGTTGGTCATACTATGGTTTCATTATCATTTCCCAAGGTAAATTGAAAGAATGGTCTTTGGTCCTCTATGGCACCTCTGTGCAGCCATACTCACCAACAAACGAGTTTCCTAAAGTGGAACGTGTCCGCTATAGCCGAGTCGAAGACCCCACTGATGACTATGGTGCAGAGGATTACTCAGGTAAGCTGGCTTCCAACAGGGACACAGGCTAAGGAAAGAAAGCTCGAGTGTCATCCACTATGCTATTCTAATACATTTTCTTCCATTTTCTTTTCCATCACCCCAAATATTTGTATGTGTATATTTATATATTCAAAAATCCTTTTTTTCTCTCAAAGGTAAACCCACACTGTACAGTTTTTATATCCTTTTTGCTTTAAAGATATTACTAGCATATTTCCCTGTTGTCAAATATCCTTAGAACACATATTTAAGAGACAGCACAATGGTCCACCCTATGATTGTACTGTAGTTTATTTAATCATAATCTAGGTTCTATACCTTGGTTAGAGTTTTAGACTATTTTAAACAAGGTTTGGATGAATGTCATTATTTATCAGTCTGTCAGTATCTTTACTTCTTTAGAATAGAATTCTGGTCTGAGAATTACTACATCAAAGGGAATAATGGGTTTTAGAGTGAGGATTCGTTTTGTTAACATTGCTTTCCAGATATGATGCACCAGTCTACACTGTGACCAGCTGTGTAAGTGTTTATTGCACTCATTCCTGCCAGCATTGAGTGGAAAAAATTTTTTTAGAAAGAACACTTTTATATTTTAATAGCTTTGATTGCCAGTAAATCTAAACATTTTTTCTCTGCAGTTTTCTGAATTAAATACAAATGTCTTTCACTCATTTTTCTATTTAAAGTGGCAGCAGTTTTCCTACCTACCTATAAGAACTCTAAATGCTACCATCTCTCATGCTGTCTCATACAGTAGCCCCCCTTTATCTGGAGTTTTGCTTTCCATGGTTTCAGTCAACTATAGTCGAGATGCAGATGATCCTCCTTCTGACATATGGTCAGAAGGTCAGTAGTAGCCTAACACTAGGTCAAATGCCTACGTCATTCACCCCACATCATTACAAGATACTTAGAGACCACATTCGCATAACTTTTATTATAGATATACTATAACTTGTTATATAATTGCTCTATTTTATTATTAGTTATTGTTTTTAATCTCTTACTGTGCCTAATTTATAAACTGAACTTTATCATAGGTTATGTATATACAGGTTAAGTATCATAAATGGTTTTAGGCATCCACTCAGGGTCTTGGAATGTATCCTCCAAGAATAAAGGGTGACTAATGTATTTGCTGAAAAGATTGTAGTTTTTGTTTTGTGTTGTGTTTTGACAGAAAAAGAAAATTGAAAGATAGGGTTTATAGTTTCAGTTAACATTTGTGACATTTTTGTAGTTTTATTCTTTAAAATCAGCTAAATATTCACATGCATTTTATTATCTCTGACTTTTACATTTGGCCATTAATTCATCTTTAACTTATTTTAATTTATGATACATAGTGTGAAATGAAGTTCCATCTTTATATTTCCCAAACAGACTAACATCACTGGCTAAGTTACCACCCCTGATTAATTTAGTAAGCTCTTATACCAGGGTCTCTTGTGGTATCAATCTAATAATTCTTAATCCAGTAGCAACCCTCTATATTTTAATATCCATTGAACATTTGCTTCTTGTTTTCAGCAATTCTTAAGATACCATTGGAATTTAATTTGAATTTACATGCAGTATCATGGGAAGAACTGTTTTTTTACAATATACAATCTTTCTAACCATAACATGTCCCATTTTATTGAAGTCTTTATTTTTATGTAGTGTTATTCCTAACTGGTAGATGCTGGTATTTAGGAAATCTATTGGCTGTTGCCTATTTATCTTATATCTGGCCATTTTGCTTATGTATTTTAGAAATGATTTTCTGGGGGGAGTTAGGTACTGTAGTCATATCATTTGCAATTTTTTTTTCCTCCTTTTCAGTATATCTCTGATTCCTGTCTTGTTGCATTGGCTACCACTTCTAAGAGCATTTGCTGTTTCTGGGATCTGATCATGAACATTTAATGAGCAAAGCTTCCTAATGGAGAACTGTTTTTAAATAGAAGTTTAATGTACCTTTAGACAAGAATTTTTTTTTCTGGCAGCTCAGATTCTTTTTCTAGTTACTAAAGATGAAAGTACTTCACTAATCACCTTAACAGAATATCTTAAATATTCACATGGTTCCTTTTATTCTATATAGATAGTATCCTAGAGTCAATAATAGACTTGGATGATTCAGACCAGTTAAGTCAACCAGAGAGTGTTTGGTTTTATCTAACTTTGCTTTGTGCTTGTAACATTGCTATTTGTGTTACAAGTAACAAACCATTTTGTTTTCTCTGATAGAAAGTATGTATATCCAAAAACATAAGTGGAGCATAATAGTAACTTGTTATTATGTGCCTTATGGTATCTAGTTCAAATTTTGGTTAAAATTCTGAACAGTCATACATCTTTGTGTTTTTTTTCTCTTTACATCTCCAATATGTCCACATTGGCACTTATGAGACAACAAAGACAATTATTTCATTATTACCCTGCAAACCTAAATTACTAAACTGCATCTGGAACAGTTTAAAATTATAAAAGAAACAGCACAGTGTGTGAATGCTGCTCAGAGCCCTTTGGCACATATCAAGAATAAATTTTGGGGGATTTTAATTGCAGAAATCATCTGGTGAAAATTTAGAGTCACCCATGATTCCTTTTCTTCAGAGCTGTGATTTTCACCTTCATTAAAAAGTCAGCCTTTCTAGAGGCACAGATGGCGTTATCATAATCAGATCCCTATACCATTATCATCATCAAATTCCAGGGACTCACAGCTGGCTGAACTTCAACCTTTACACAGTAGAGAGAGACTCTCCTCAAGTACCATGGCAGGCAGCTAAAATGTCCCAAGTTGTACTGGCTAGGGAATTTAATTTAGTGATCAATTTTAAGGCTTTTGGGGAGACAGAGATAAACACTGTTGACAAATGACTATCATAATTAATCAGGTATGTATTTCAAGTCTGCAGTATTTCAAAATGACTTGTTTCCATTCACATCAAAAGGTGATCTCCAGTACATAATTTACTACACCTAAGTAGGAGACCTGGACTAAGAAACTGGACTATGTTGAACCCAGCTCTCTTAGCCATATGATAATGGGAAAACCACTATATCTCTTGAAAAAGCCATTTTCTCATCAGTAAAATGAAGGTATTTGATGACTCGATTGTTCGCTAAGTCATCCTCCTCAATTCTACCATTTTATGTTTCAATTCAGTAATTATGTAATGACTAAAGGAGACCAAAGTTCAACAGAAAGTCCTAAAACATTTTTGGCACCCTGGACTTACTGTTTGTACATATTGTGCAATATGTTTATTGCTAGTTAAAGTCACATCAATGTTCAGTGCGAAAGAGCATGAAGATTATGAGACTAAATGTCCTAAAATATGGAGAGCAAGGAAAAGGGAGTTAGTTCAAGCAAGTACAATATCTATAACTAGCCTATGTCATTAGAAAGCTTTTCATCAATCATAAAATAGCTCCATCTCTCTAGCATACTTCCTTCTGCAGGTGTATTCTCTTTAGTTTTATGCCAAACAGGTAACGAGGAGAGATTAGGGACCTTCATCCCAGGTCTGGAATTCTTTAAGCTAGATTGCATTTTTAAAAATTTATGTGTAGTTTTCTTCTGTTGGGTTGCCCATCGGCCTAGGGATGGGATGCAATCGTAAATCTGTGATCTGTGCCCCAAGTACCTGCTTTGCAATCCAAGACTACATATTGATAAGCTTGTGCCAGATGCCATGGTGTTGTTTCTTGCTGGCTACAGTATCTCAGAGGTATTCAGTGGCTTTAATGACCTTGGATGAGACAGGCAATTTGGTCCAGGCATTGAATAATAACCTTTTTTTCTCTTCTGTCAACAGCTTAACTTTTCATTTTTCTATAAATCTGACATTTTTATCATTATGCATATTTAATTGTAGTCAGGTTTTTTTCCCATTTGCAACAGTGGCATTGTTCATTTGAATTCTGAAGTATTTGCTATCTGCCACAAGGCAGCCAAATGTGCTTTAAAGACCAGGCTGTGACTCAGATTTCCATTTTTGATATGTAGGTAATTGAGGTTTTCCCCAAGAAAGTCAAGTCATAGCCACTTTGAACATTATTCCTCCATCTTAAAGAAGTCTTATTTTATTCAAAGTAAAGCTGGTCTGCTTTAAAGTCATTTCTTCCAAGTGTTCTAATTCTTTTGGAAAGGTCCCTGCGACCCTGAGTGCAGTGAGGTCGGCTGTGAAGGACCAGGACCGGACCACTGCAATGACTGTTTGCACTACTACTACAAGCTGAAAAACAATACCAGGTGAGAGAAAGGCCAGCTCAGACCCCCACAGCGTGTCCCAGGAGCTGCCACAGAGTCACTGCAGGGTGCTCGGGCAGTGTCTGATGTTCTCCCACCAGGATCTCAGCACAGACAAGATGCCGCTGCACAACCCACCCCTCTGTGTGTAATTCAGTGACGAAACTGATACTGAGCTACCGGGCACAAACTGCAACTATGTGCTAGGGAGCTGGCAAATACCTTTTCTCCCATTTGGAAAGGGGTGATGGGAAGAGACTAGCTCTGCACATGCCTGGTCCTCCTTTCCAGAACTTTCCATCCTGTGGATATTTAATACTACAGCTACATTTGCCCTTCATGAGAATGCCAGCACACGGGCCGCATGGAGGCCATTACCCGCTGCCCAGTGTGCAAGCCCTTGCTGTGGGTGGTCCCTGCTCAGTCTCACTGTTGCACACTGAGGCAGACCTGCTTGGACCCTGTCACTGAGGCCCCCTGGCCTCTGCCTTGAGCTCTGTCCACAGAGAGGGCCATGGAATAGTAACTGCGTCCGAGGCCAGGCCCTGCAGGTATGTCTCCCACAGCCTGCCACCTTCTCCCTACTCCCTCAGGGAAACTCACTTTGGGGAACTGACTTGTGGTAAATCCACACTCCAGTCACCCAGACATGTTCCGTTCGTACTTACGACCATGCTGGAATTTAAATTCCTTAAAGGAAAGGCCCTTGGCTACCATAGCACCACCTCTCATTACTTGGTCCTTAGTAAATATTTGTTAATGAATCAATAAAGCCCTGTTCTTCAATTATGAGCAAACCTTCATTTTTAAAGTTTATCATAAACACTGAAAATATTTATATTAATTTAGACAATAGCATACAACTACCACCACACACAGGATCCATATGACAAATACACAAAGGCAGGAGTAACCCCTTATTAGAGACCTTTCTGCATAAAATTGCAGGTCACATGTATTTTCCCTTCTACTCAATGCCACGATCTTCCTCTTGAGACTCCCTTTCTAACCATCATCCTGTTTAAACCCAAACTAGAAGGTGGTTCAGACCAAGGCGTGTTTACATGATATTGTGTAAGTGCTCTGCTGCTCTGGCACCTACACAGGAAAAAGCTGTAACCAACAGAATTGGGCCCTTTGGATGCTGTGGTACAATCATGGATTCAAAAAAGATTTTGAGACTGTGTCTCTGGTGACCCTGCCCCCTTTTCTTACCATTCCACAATGTAGGATCTGTGTCTCCACCTGCCCCCCTGGCCACTACCACGCTGACAAGAAGCGATGCAGAAAGTGTGCCCCTAACTGTGAGTCCTGCTTTGGGAGCCACGGTGACCAGTGCCTGTCCTGTAAATATGGATACTTCCTGAATGAAGAAACCAATGGCTGCATGACTCACTGCCCTGATGGATCTTATCAGGACACCAGTGAGTTCATTTCAAATGCTTGGGTATAGAGAAGAAGCATAAGGTTTTCATTTGGTTGACTCTGGGAGGGGTATTCCTCCTCCAGGAAACCTAGGGTTCACTTAATAACAAATAGGTTATAGCCATATTTTTAAGAGAACACTTTAGAATTATTTTGTAAAAAAGAATGCCTGTCATGAACTGTGCCCGGGGGTCTTCAAGCCCATCCCCTGATTCAGTGATTTCCTAGGAGGACCCATAAGATGCAGTCTATAGTTATACTCATGTACTCACAGTTATGACTTATTTCAACAAAAGAATACCAAGTAAAATCAGCAAAGGGAAAAGTCTGGAGGAAGCCAGGCACAAGCTTCTAAGAGTTTTCACCCAGTGGAGTCACACAGGATGCAATGCATTCCCCCAGCAATGATATGTGACAACATGCATGAAATGTAGTCTACAAGGGAACCTCCTTAGAATCTCGGCACCCAGAGTTGTTTTGGGGCTCTTGTCCTGAAGGCACCCTCTGCCTGGCGCATACCAAAATTCCAGATTCCTAGAAGGATAGCAGCTATAAGGTAGGGCAAAGGGACCCTCGTGAACTCCAGGTTCCCAGATACTAGCCATGGGGCAACCTTATAAGCAGGCTTTCCACAGGTAGCAACCAAGCTTGCATGGTATCAACATGTACCTTTCAAAAAGCTTAATTTTTGAAATTACTAAAGTAATTTACAACATTACTTTAATGTAAATCTTCAATAGACATGTGCCAAAGACTTATTTAACCCATTAATGAAAGAACCTACAAGGTAATAAATGGGATCAAAGACTATCAAGCATTATATAATCACTAGGAAAGGGAAAATGAAATCTATTTGCTGAGTTAGAGGCAAACTGAGTAATTTCCAACATGGCAGTACAACTAGAATTTGGCTTATGTTTTTCAAATGGACAGAAATTCTTTGCAACTTACCAGAGTTTGGGTCCTAGTGAACCATCATTAATAAACAAAGGTACATTACCTAGAGAATTAAATAGTTCTTGGCACACCTACCCACTAAGCAGTGCTCTGTGTGGCCCTGAGAAGGACTACAGCTATCTTTTGCTTTATGAATTTGCAATAATTTGTCTTAATAAGGGTGTTGCACCATGTATATGAGGACACTGAAATTTCATGTTTCTAGACAACCTAAGAAACCAGAAAACCCAAGTTTAAACAAAGTTTCATTCAGTTCTGCATATACATGCTTATAATCCATATGCATCTCAGAGAAAGTATTGAATCTCCAGAAAAATTTTGCCTAAGGTAAACAGGCCTTACTTAATATAATGAACCACAGTTTTTTTTTTCCAACAGGTACCTTTGTGTTTGGTATTAAACAGGAAAGGTAGTATCTATAGTATATTTGTTAAAATAGACTTCTATCCTTTAGAATACAGATATTACCTGAAAAACAATAACATATACTTTATGGAAGTTGAATAATTGATAAGACGCTATTCTAGACAATGCAAGAAATAACCCTTACCTTGCAATCTTCAATGTAGGTTCCCTTTTCTAGTATAGTTCATGAGAGTAGTCCTAAAATCTGTGAGCATGGTGGTCTGTATTCCATCCACATTTGCAAACACTGCTTCTCAACCCTTAGTTACATCCAGGCATTTCCTCAGCCTCATCAGTGGGATTTTCATTTTTGGAAATTAGGAAACCCTGCTTGGGAGAGACAATGGGAAGAAAAAAATTGCCAATAAACTATTCAACTGACAGTTAAGTCAACTGCAGTTCTCTTGTCTGCAAAATGGTAGATGTTTCTGAGGTATATCTCCCAGTGCTATAATTCCTACCTGTATTTGCTTTGCTGAGAAGTGATAGCAAATATGAGTGTGAGGCTTTTTGTACAGTTTTCAGCTCAAGGCCAAGTGTACCGTTGCACATGTTAGCAAATAGTAGATATCTCCACATAATTTTATTGACTCCAATTGAATGACTGATTTATAACCTTGTTAATTTTTTTTTTAAAACAGAAAAAAATCTTTGCCGGAAATGCAGTGAAAACTGCAAGGTCTGTACAGAAGCCCACAGCTGCACGGAATGTAGGAGTGGACTGAGGTGAGAGAGTGAAGCGTCGCATCAAGTAATAGCCCACAGGGCTTCTCAATATGAAGAAAAGAAAAAAAAACGTGTTAATAAATAACCTTCTAATCATCACCCTTAGTTTGACTCCCAAACACTTGATTGCTATTTGCATGATCTCTACCATTGTGTGTGAAAAATTGGATGCCATCTTGGCTAAGGAAGGTTTGCAAACCAAATAAAATTCTCCTTAGAAAAGATGGCTCAGATACAAGTAAATAAAAACAGCCATTTGAGAGCTTTCTTAGTGATTTTGACAGGCAGTGCACCAGTCAAGGATTACTGTGTAGGCAATACCATTGAATTATATTTAATCCCCCTGATTCATTCCTCTGATGGATAGAAGCTATTCCCTTATCTTTACTATTTCTCTCCATATAGCCAATCATTCACTTATCTTAAGTGCCTCAGGCTCAGCTCCATTATGCTATGGTATGCAAGTAGATTTAACACCTAGAGATGTTTTCCTTGAATGGATGACTTGCTCATTGCTAAAGCCAGGTAGTTGATAGATTCTGTAAGAGAACAACACACGGCTCAAATGTTGTTCTTAAGAGGCTCAAAGGTAGCCTCTTAATACCCATAGAGAAGCTCAGACCATCCTCTGTGGGGTAAGGAGTTGGATCTGAGGTTTACGTAGAGCTAGAAATCTGCTGCACTCAATCCCTTTTAGGTATTGAGAGAACCTGTGTTTCCACCTTTAATCAGAGGTGAAATAGGCAAGTCAGGGAAGTTTCCAGGCAGGTAATTCTTCACATTCATTGATACTGGAATATATTTTTATATAGATTTATTGATTATCTGTGGTTTCTCCCACCACCACCACCACCCCACCACCCCTGCCAAATGCATTCAGTGTTGGTTTACTTACTAACACCTTTCATCTCTAAGCTTCAGTCTTGATAAAGATCAGTCTAGTCAGCCTCCTAATTCTTTTTGGAGAAGGAGCAAATTGGCATAATAAAAAGAAAGAAGACAGATATGGTCTCAAATCTTCCTCTGCTATTTATCAGCTGTGTGAACTTGGCCAAGTCACTTAGCCACTCCAAGCTTCAGTTTTCTTAGCTATAAAATGGTGACTATAACCCCTACATTGCTGGATTATGATAAGGATTAACTGCAACAGCACTTACAAAGCACTTATTCTAATATCTGACACATAATTAGTCCATGAGAAAGAAAACATTTAAAATTTTTTTCTATATTTCTTAGGGACTGTTTTATAGAGTAAGTTGACCAGCACTCTCCAATATAAATAGGAAAGCCATAGGTGTTAAGTTTGCCAGCAGGCACATAAAAGAAGTAAAAAGATACAGGTGAAATTCATTTCAATCAAATTTTATATTTAACCAAATATATCCAAAATATTATCATTTCAACATGTAATCATTTTATGAGAGACTCTTAATGAGATATTTTACATTCTTTGTGTTGTTGTACCAAGTCTTCGAAATCCAGTGTGTTATTTTGCCCCTAAAGCAAACATCAGTCAGGACAGTAAATTTTTGCAAGAAATTCTTGTATTTAGATTTTATAAATTTTAGAGTGGCATCAATTACAATTAAAGAAAATTGAAAATTCCATTCCCTGGCCACACTCACCACGTTTCAAGGCCAGTACCGGCACTAGAGCACATGAGACAGCTCAGGTCTAACTGGCCAGTTTGTCACAGACCCCAGGTGTTCACAGTGCCAGGTTCGCCTGCCATACCAGCCTTGTGTTTTGGAAGTACCGCCCTGTTGCACATCCCACTGAGTTCATTCCTTCCTCATACAGTGCAGCCTCTGTCTCCTGCTGAATAAGTGCCAACCTCAAAGTCATGTCTTGTATTAGAAAAACTAAGCAGCTTTTTGGGAACTTTGATAAGTTTTTTGGTGGTCCTATTTCCTCCAGCAAAAGAATCCATTTGATGCAATGTCCTTTTTTTCCTAGCTCCACAGAAAAGGAAGGGATTTTTTTTCATTGGCTTTTTAAGTGACAGCGCTCTCTCTGGGCAATGAGACAACCTAGGAGTGGTGTTCACTCTCAGTGTCTCTTTAAGCCTCCCTGAGTTTTCTTGAGGGGCCTTTCTAGGGTGCCCAGTGTGCCTCAAAAGACCTGTAAGTTCTTAAATAGTGACTAACAAACACACACAAATATATCTGTGCACAAAAATACTGGAAGGAAATTATTTAAAATGGTAACAGGACTGTTTGGGATTATTTGTCACCTACTTTGTTCTTCCCAAATTTCTTTCATGAGCAAAGGGAAAAATAAATTTTACGTTTGAAAATTAGTATGACTCACATCCAAAGCACAGATAAGATGTGGTTGGAGCAATACAGAGAGTTAAAGAAAATAGAAACCATTTGACCCTGTTGCTTAGATGCCTATCTTCTAATATCGTCTATTTGGTAACAGGCTTACAAGTCCCCTTCTGTGGTTCCACAGTGTTTAGTTTATTCATTGAGTAATACTTGCACATTAAATGTTGTAAATTCCATGTATTTGCTTTGAATTTTAAGGATCAATCTATAGACTATGAGAGATATCATAGCTGATAGAATTAGGAAAGAAAAAAATAACGCATTCCTTATTCAACAGTCTAATGGCTCATTAGGTATTAAGAGTGCAAATAATTCCTAGAAACACTAAATAATAACATAAGTAAGAATAGTTGAGATGGTTGGGAAAGGAGCAGTATAGGTAGGTAATTTTGCTGAATTATTCATTAAAGTTTAAAATAAATCAAGATTAGAGGCAAAAGTGTATTTGAATTGTGTTGTTCTGATGGGAATCAACAGGAGACTAAAATCAGAAACACTTAAAAACAAAAAAGGGTACTTCTCGGAGTTGGGGCTGGGGCTGGGCAGGGATAGTTGTGTCTTTTTATTCAGTTATAATTCATTTTACCCCATGTTCCTACTACATTTATAATTACAAAACAACTCAAATATTTATGTAGTAGACCTGGGTATTAGGGAATTGTTAGTCATGTTGTGAGGTCATGTGATAGTTTTCTCAATAAATTGCTTTTAGAAACCTCGGGGTTATAAGATGTTGAGCAAAGAGGGAATGTGTCAGCCAGTCTAACAGTTAAGAGGAATGTCCTCAAAGCTTGCAGCATGTATACAGGCTACAGGTATCACCACATGTACAGAGAAGCATTACAGGCATTAGGAGGGGGGAAAAGAGGCTCAAGGGCTATTTCCCCCCATTTTGAAGCTTTGCCAAATCTACTGATCTCTTGGGGAAGATACATTTGTACACACGGAGTTGGGGAGTCCTTACCTCTTCACCTGGTCACAGCAGCCTGTATCCTGTCTTCAGCCTGCAGGGCTCCCGGTGTTCCGTCACCTGTGAAGATGGCCGGTACTTCAATGGCCTGGACTGTCAGCCCTGTCACCGCTTCTGCGCCACCTGTGCTGGTACCTATTACCCCAGACCTTTTGTTTCTTCTGGCTCTGATTTGGCTTTTGTGTATCCGTTTTTAGCATCACTCTTGCAAACCTACGTGACATGTTTAAAATAAATGGCTAGAGCAGCACGTCTCTTCTGATAATCATTCATGTTTTCTCATCCAAAGTCAGTCATCAGCATCCTGTCTTCATTGAGAAACTTAAATATCCCAGTGATACCTCCTTTTCTTTCCAAAGAGCTTTTGATATGTTTTGACAAATGGGCTCAATTTAAAACAGGAGCGTTTTTTGCAAAGATAAGAAAAAGCACAAATATTAAACTATAGCTCTTAAAATTATAACGCATCAGTGCCATTTTCAAAAACTATGCAAGAAGCAGCCCACTGTGCAACCACTTCTGAGGTTATGTTTGTTTCCTATGTGTGTCTTGCTTTTAAGGGGCAGGTGCTGATGGGTGTATTAACTGCACAGAGGGCTACTTCATGGAGGATGGGAGGTGCGTGCAGAGCTGTAGTATCAGCTATTACTTCGACCACTCTTCAGAAAATGGATACAAATCCTGCAAAAAGTAAGTGCATCTGCCCCTTAAGCCCCTGACATTTGGTCACTGGGTTCCTTATTTGACTGCCTTCATAAAAAATGTGGATTAACAGTAAAGGTTAAAACACTTACGTATGGATACTGCTCTATAGCTTTAACCCAACATGTTGGGTTTTTTTTTTTTTTTTGCCTCAGGAGCATTTTAAAACCTTTAGAATAATAATTTGTGTTTCCAGTACATGCTGTCTCCCCTTTAAAATCACACTGTCTACCTGCTAAGTTTTCTTTAATGTTGTCAAACCTAGCAATTATTTTAAGAAAAACTTTTGTATAGTCTTCAAAAGGAGAATTAAGTTTAAGACATTATTATGCTGTGGAAAATAAATACATCTTTTCCTGTGCCTGCTATATGAAAAGATAAATTGTACATTTCCCCCATAGATGTGATTCCAGTTGTCTGACATGCAATGGTCCAGGGTTCAAGAACTGTACAAGCTGCCCCAGTGGGTATCTCTTAGACTTAGGAATGTGTCAAATGGGAGCCATCTGCAAGGATGGTGAGTATGGCTGCTCATTTCGATCTTCTAAGTAAAACGTGACCTCTCTACATTAAGTTTTAATCTATTTCTACCTAAAAAGGAAACTATCTATCTAGCATGCATGAGGACATGCCCAATATCATTCATCTTGAACTTAAAACCCACTGAGGGCATGATTTTTCATTTTGGGATTGTTTCTTTTAATTGCAAGAAAAAATAAATCACCTGTAGTCCCACTGGCCAAAATGGCACTAGTTAATTTTTTGCACAAGTAAACATTGTGTTTTAAAACTTCAGAATTTTAGATTCACAGCAAAAATGAGAAAGTACAGTTACCACAGATCCCATGACCACCATTAACACATACGACCTTGTCCTACACTGTTCTTGGCATCCCACACCAGAGCGGTATATTTGTTAGAATCGATGAACCTACACTGACAAATGACAATCACCTGAAGTCTATACATTAGAATTCACTCTTGGCATTGTACGTTCTTTAGGTTTGGACAAATGTATAATAACATGTATCCACCACTGTAATATCATTCAGAGTAGTGTCGCTGCTCTAGAAATCTGTGCTCTGCCTCCTTCCTGCTTATCCCTGGTAACCACTAATTTTTTAACTATCTCCATAGATTTTTCTTTTCCAGAATGTCAAATAGTCAGGATGGTCATACAATACACAGACTTTTCCAGTTAGTTTCTTACATATTTCTTTCCACTCTTTTACCATATATACATTTTTACCAGATTTTCAAAATAATATGCATGGAGTTTTGAATCCTGCTTTTCATATTAAGCATTAAACAAACATCCTGTGTTTTTACAAAGTCTTCAGAACCTTCATCTTTAATAACAGCATTAAATTATCATATGGGAATACCACCATTTATTGCCACTCCCCTTTTATGTGAATTATCATTTTGATTTATAAATATAATCAAATAGTATCTGAATCTTTAAGTCTTTGAGGCAAGGAATTAATGATAGAACCAAGTACAGAATGCAAGACTTCTAAATGTTGGTCCATTTTTCTTTTCTTTGCACTACTGGTTCTCAACCAAAATGCCAGGACACTACACCTTCCCTAGAGATTCATACTGAATTGGTCTTGGGGTCTGAGCATAGATATTTTTAGAAGTTTACAAGTGTTTCTAGTGTACAGCCAGGTTTGGGAATCTCCTGACTACTCCATTCCCCCTTACAATTTGGCAAATTCCAAGTTATCTAATTTTTCTAGCCTCATTTTCCACATCTATAAAACTCAATTATTCTAACTCCAAAATTTTTTAATCTTTGACTCTCAATATAATTCATGCCTAAGTTTTATGTAGACATGCATCTCAATGATGCAGAAAGAAATTGTTTTGGACCATTGTTGTTCTAGACATCCTTAGATTATTATGTAAATAGAAAAAAAAGTATGTAGTTTATCCTGACAAGACCATTTCTACAGGTTTATTCTTTATCTTCCTTTGAATTGAATCCTCTTCTGAAAATTTCACAAGAGACATAATGTTGCTGGGGTTCTGAGAATGTGGATTTAGTAGAGTGCTATCATTCATATCTGGGCTGCCGACCTTGGGCAGGTTATGGATTTCTCTGGTCCTCTCTTCCCTCATGTGTAAAAAAGAGGAGAATAGTATTGACCTCATGGTTATTCTGAAGCTTCCTATTAGGAATCTCAAAAAGAACTAGGCAGAAGGAGGACAGGAAGATGGCAGAATAAGAGGTCACTGTGATAACCTCCTCCCACAGACACATCAAGGAAGCAACTACGTCTAATACAGCTCACTTTGAAAACAACATGAACACTGCAGAACAGACCTTCCAAAGCTGGCAAAAAAGAGATGACCACACTGAGATGGGTAAAAGTTCAGATCTGTGATTGATTGATGGGGATACAAGGCCTTCTCCAATCCCAACCCACAGGCAGGAGGGAGAGAGGAACAGAGTGAGGAGGAGAAAAATGCTCAGAAACCTAGCACACCAGATCCTGTGTATCTTCTCGGGGAAGATGAGTTCCAGTGTCCTATTGGGCTTTCAAAAGCCCAAGATTTAACACAAAGGCAGCAAGTTGAAAGATGTGCTAACCTTGGGGAGTATTTCAGAAAGTGATGGGGGTTGAGGGTTTGAGGGAACTCTCTGTGATGGAGAAAGGGCTGGCAGATGTCACTTTTCCAGCCCAAAAGGCCAAATGCTTGTGGCAGCCAGCTCTGAAACTCTCCACCTACCCACTTGCCCCCCCAGTAGTAGTTGGTCAGTGCAAACATCCAGGCAGAGGGTGGCCCCATCCACAGTGCATCACAGACAAGCCAGGCATTGCACTCTGAGGCGTAGAAGTTGAGTTTGGCCAGTGCAGGTAGCCAGACAGAGGGCAGACCCCACCCACAGTAGTCATAGCTCAGCCACAAAAGTGACCACCATTCAAGCACCTGGCTCTGGTGAGCAAAGGATTTTGCTCTTCTGGGAACCACAGAATGTGTATGACACAAAACTACTACTTTCAAGAACAGAAGGCTTAGCTGATTTTTATCATAGAAACACAGAGATCCAGACAAAATGAGGAGACAGAAGACTATGTTCCAAATGAAAAAAAAACAAACACCAGAAAAAAAATGAAATAGAGCAATCTACCTGGTAAAGAAGTCAAAGTAATGGTCATAAAGATGTTCACTGAAATGGAATAAAGATTAGATGATCTCAGAGAGGACTTAAAGAGATAGAAAATATAAGAAAGAACCAGGTAGAGCTGAAAAATGCAATAACCAAAATGAAAAATACAATAGAGAGAATGACTAAACTAGAGGATACAGAATAGATCAGTGAACTAGAAGACAGGTGGAAAGTAACCAAGCAGAACAACAGGAAGAAAAGATTTCTAAAAATGAGAAGATGCTAAGAAAACTCTGCAACAACTCCAAACAAAACAATATTTGCCCTATAGGGATCCAAGGAGGAAATGAGAGAGAAAGGGGTAAAAAGTCTACTTGAAGATATAATAGCAGAAAACTTCCCTGTCCTGGGAAAGGAAATAGATGTCCAAGTCCTAGAAGGACAGAGAGCCCTTAACAAGAAGAACCAAAGGAGGAGGGGAGAAAAGATGGTGGCATGATAAGTGCGGCAGAAATCTCCTCCCAAAACCATATATATTTGAAAATACAGCAAATACAACTATTCCTAAAAGAGTGACCAGAAGTAACAGTACACCAGTCTACATCTGGGATAAGTCAACATCTCATGGAAAAGGGTAAGATAAAAAGCCACAACCTGGCAGGACCCAACCACTCCCCCACCACAGCTCACCAGTGGGAGGAAAAGAATCAGAGCAGGGAGGGAGTGGAAGCATAGGACTGCTACATACCCAGCCCTAGAAATCTACCCCAGGAGCACAGACCCACATTGCATGGTGCTCTGGAGATTAGAGGGGCTGAAAACCAAAGTCAGAGACTAAGACTGCTAACAGGATCCCAAAAACAGCTACCCTGGGACAAAAGAAAAGCAGCCACTTTAAGGGACCTCTAAACAGTCAGAGGGCTGCTAAAGAGGCAAGGGTTTATGAGAAGGGACAGGCAGACAAAGTCATCCTGGCACACTCAGCCCAGCAGTCTGTGAACTTTCAGGAAATTCAGGCAGCCTATCCGTCTGGTTGGCAATGCAGCCCTGAGGCCCCACACTGCAAGAAGCAGCCTGCTGCTCCTTCCTCCCTGCCAGGAATTGCATGCAAACTGGCTGTCCCCACTATTGCTGTGGACCAGCCAGAGAGCAGCCCTGCCTACAGGAACTACACAGCTTAATGCAGAGGCTTCTCCCTGTGTGTGACTAACTGGCCCACACCCAGAGGCTGCTCCATGTGCACATTGACCAGCACAGACAGCAGAGATGGACACCAGAAGCTACAAAGGGGCTTTGTTATTGTGGCGGAACCCATGCCGCTCACTTGCAACCCCCGCCATTGCCCTAGGCCATCACAAGGGCAACCTTGCCCACTGAAATTTAGGAGATTAACCCAGAGGCCATTCCCTGTGTGCAGTTAACCAGCAGAGATAGCAGAGACAGGCATGGTGATCAGCAAGCAGAAAGGGACTTTGTCCTCCCAGCTGACACTCATGCCACTTGCTGGCGACCACTCCCATCACTCCAGGACTATGAAAAGGCAGAAGAACCATGTTCAATCCAAAATCCCTCAAACACCAACAAGAGGGCTCAGTGAGACTGAAATCACCAATCTTCCTTGAAAATAATTCAAAATAAAAGTCATAAGCATGCAAATGGAGCTACAGAAAAATATTCAAGAAGCTAAGGGATGAATTCAGGAGGGAGATAAATGAAACATGGAGGGATTTAAAAGCAGATTAGGTGAGGTAGAGGAGACAGGGAACGTAATTGAAAACAGAACAAGAATACAGAGAAGCTGAGGCAGAGAGAGAAAAAAGGATCTCTAGGAATGAAAGAATATTAAGAGAACTGTGTGAACAGCCAAAACAGAATTCACATTATAGGGGTACCAGAAGAAGAAGAGAGAAAAAGGGAGAGAAGGTGTCTTTGAGGAGTTAATTGATGAAAACTTCCCCTCAAGCCATGGAGGTACATAGATTTCCCAACATGAGGGACTCAAGGAAGACAACATCAAGAAAAATAATGATTAAAATGGCAAAGATCAAGGACAAATAGAGAGTATTAAAAGCAGCCAGAGAGAGAAAAAAGATCACCTACAAAGGAAAACCCATCAGGCTATCAGACTTTTCAGCAGAAACATTACATGCCAGAAAGGAATGGCATGATATAGTCAATGCAATGAAACAGAAGGGCCTATAACCAAGAATACTCCACCCAGTAATATTAGCATTTAAATTTGAAGGAGGGATTAAACAATTCCCAGATAAGCAAAAGTTGAGGGAATTTACCTCCCACAAACCATCTCTACAGTGTATTTTAAATGGACTGCTCTAGATAGAAGTGTGCATAAGATTAAATAGCTGTCACCAGAGAAAATAAAACCACAGCAAAAGAAT